CCGCCTAGAGGGCTGGTGATATTCGCGTGTCAACCACCAACATGTACATCCCAAGCCCTCGACTCCCATCCTCTTCTTCTGGGCACACACACACACACACCCACGTGGGGAAGGGTAACGGTGTCACGCGTTCTGCATGTCATACGTATTTCTTCGCTGTGGGTGAAGTTTCTAACCTTTCTGGCGACGGTATGTGAACAGTTTTTGTTCTTGGAAAGCAGGTTCGTGTTTCCACCCACAGATTTCCCAGTAGGAGGATTCCGTCTTCCATCTGCACCCGCAGAATCGCGCGAATCGGACGGGTCGAGGGCTCCTGAAGTCGTCAAGACGCCTGAGGTCAATCCGAACATCCGGGGTCCATGTTGTAACAAGCCAGCCATCGTTCGTTGGTAACCCCTGGCCGTGGAGGAGGGAGGAGGGAGGAGCGAGGAGGGAGGAGGGAGGAGGGGGGAGGGAGGAGGGGGGAGGGAGGAGGAGGGAAGAGGGAGGAGGGAGGAGGGAGGAGGGAGGAGGGAGGAGAGAGAAGGGCAGACGAGCGGGCCTTGCGGGCGGACGCTGACGGGCTGGTCGGACGGGCGGACCCCGACGGGCGGGTCGAGCGGGCGGACCGAAACGGGCGGGCGGGTGGGCTTCAGGCCGACGAACGGGCGGACCTCGACGAGCGGGTCGTGCGGACATTGCAAAGGCCAGGTCGGGATCGGGCGGGCGGACCCGGACGGGCGCGTCAGGAGGGTGGGGCCGAACGAGCGGGTCGGGCGGGCAGACCCGAACGCCCGGGTCGGGCTGCGAGGAGGCCCCAGGCAAGAGAGCCATTCTTGAAAGGCGTGTGTGCGGTCCTGGGCGAAAGCTCGTTTCCTGAGCGACTCGTCACGATGGCCCAGGAGAAAGAGCGGTTAGTGAATAAGTTGCGAGAGTGCGGTTCCAGATTCCTGACTGAATTGCGGGTATGTGCCAGGCCAGAGCGCGACCCTTGAGGAAATGGCAAGGAAGTCTGGAGCGAGGGCGCGGTTCTTCGGTGAATTATGAGGCAGTCTTCGGCGGAAGCCGTTGTTGTTGTAGCCAGGGGGGGCTCACGGGCATTGTTTGACCAATGATACTTCCCCTGACAAGATGAGTGCACGAGGGTCGAGGAGGCCACTGCAGTTGAACCAGCATTGCGCGTTGGACAGGTGGGGACAACGTATTAGCCTTTTCAGAAGTGATATTTCAACAGCAGCAACTCTCCTCACTCTCTTTCTCCCTTCACCCCTCCCCTTCTCTTTCCCGCTCTCCGCTCTCCCTGGGGAGGAGGTGGGGAGGAGGGCGGCAGGGAGGGAGGGAGAGATGAGGGAGGGAGGGAGGGAGGGAGGGAGGGTGCGATGACGGCGGGGGGGGGAGGGAGGGGGATCCCCCCGCCACCCCTCCACGCCCTCCCTCCCCTCCACAGATCTCCGATTCTGTGATTGTGTTCCGCACGTGGCCCCCGTGAAGCTCGGGCTCTCCTGCAAAGGGGGCCCTGGGACTCACACACAAATAAACAGACAGAACTAACCTGATTCCCCATGTATTGTCCCATATTTTTTCTGGGTGTTTGTCCTCCCCCCCATAGTTCCCCACATGTTTCGTGGGGTTCTGGTTTTCTTCCCTGCCGCGGCGCACCCGCGTCTCCTCACCTCCCCTCCTCCTCTTCATTCCTCTCCTCAACCCGCGGTCAACACATGCACGGCAAGTACATGAGACACGCGTCTACATACAGCCGCACGCATGCACACACTCGCACACACAAGACGCATGTTCACTGCATCATACACCCAAGACGTCTGCACAATCCGTGAGGGTCGTCCAGGGCACAGCAGGCATGGCATATTCTCGACACCATAGGGGGTGCGCAGGGGGTGGTTTCTCACCGCGGCCGCTATCCGTGACGGTCGTCCAGGGCATAGCAGGCAGGGCATATTCTCGACACCAGAGGGGGTGCGCAGGGGGTGGTCTCTCACCGCGGCCGCTATCCGTGACGGTCGTCCAAGGCACAGCAGGCATGGCATATTCTCGACACCATAGGGAGTGCGCAGGGGGTGGTCTCTCACCGCGGCCGCTATCCGTGACGGTCGTCCAGGGCACAGCAGGCATGGCGAAAATTCTCGACACCAATAGGTGGTGCGCAGGGTTTGGTCTCTCTACCGTGCCGCTATCCGTGACGGTCGTCCAGGGCACAGCAGGCACGGCATATTCTCGATACCAGAGGGGGTGCGCAGGGGGTGGTCTCTCACCGCGGCCGCTATCCGTGACGCTCATCCAGGGCACAGCAGGCATGGCATATTCTCGACACCATATGGGGTGCGCAGGGGGTGGTCTCTCAGCGCGGCCTCTATCCGTGACGGTCGTCCAGGGCACAGCAGGCATGGCATATTCTCGATACCACAGGGGGTGTGCAGGGGGTTGTCTCTCACCGCGGCCGCTATCCGTGAGGGTCATCCAGGGCACAGTAAAAAGGTCATGGCATATTCTCGCAACCAGAGGGACAACAGAAATGGCATACTCTCGACACCATAAGGGGGTGCGCAGGGGGTGGTCTCTCACCGCGGCCGCTATCCGTGACGGTCGTCCAGTGCACAGCACGCATGGCATGTTCTCGACACCAGAGGGTGTGCCCAGGGGGTGGTCTCTCACCGCGGCCGCTATCCGTGACGGTCGTCCAGGGCACAGCAGGCATGGCATAGTCTCGACACCATAGGGGGTGCGCAGGGGGTGGTCTCTCACCGCGGCCGCTATCCGTGACGGTCGCCCAGGCACAGCAGGCATTGCATATTCTCGACACCATAGGGGGTGCGCAGGGGGTGGTCTCTCACCGCGGCCGCTATCCGTGACGGTCGTCCAGGGCACAGCAGGCGTGGCATATTCTCGACAACATAAGGGGGTGCGCAGGGGGTGGTCCCTCACCGCGGCCGCTATGCACGACGGTCGTCTAGGGCATAGCAGGCGTGGCATTTTCTCGACACCATAAAGGGGAGCGCAGGGGGTTGTCTCTCACCGCGGCCGCTATGCACGACGGTCGTCCAGGGCATAGCAAGCGTGGCACTTTCTGGACACCATAAGGGGGTGCGCAGGGGTTGGCCTCTCAGCGCGGCCGCTATGCCCGACGGTCGTCCAGGGCATAGCAGGCGTGGCTATTCTCGACCCCATATGGGATTGGCAGGGGGTTGTCTCTTTACCGGCGGCCGCTATCGTGACGGTCGTCCGGTCTCCAGGGCACAGCAGGCATGCATATTCTGCACATGAGGGGGTGCTCAGGTGTGGTCTCACTACCGCGGCGCTATACGTGACAGTCGTCGGGCACAAGCAGCATGCATGGCATATTCCTCGACACCATAAAAGGGGGTGCGTCAGCGGGCGTTCTCTCGACCGCGGCCGGCTACTACTCGGACGGTCGTCGTCCCAGGTCACAGCAGGCATGGCATATTCTCGACACCATAAGGGGGTGCGCAGGGGGTGGTCTCTCACCGCGGCCGCTATCCGTGACGGTCGTCCAGGGCACAGCAGGCATGGCATATTCTCGACACCATAAGGGGGTGCGCAGGGGGTGGTCTCTCACCGCGGCCGCTATCCGTGACGGTCGTCCAGGGCACAGCGGTATCGGCGGGGCAACGGCCACCAACATAATTCTCACATGCTTCATTTCAGCTCTCATTACTCCAGCCATAATATAAGTATGTGGGGTTCCTCGGTAGCGTAATTTCCCATATTTTCTGGGTTTTTGTCTTCCCCCCCCCACTTCCCATATATTTTCCCATATTTCCGGGGGAATCGACGATCCATTGTGTCTCTGTGGGTCTTCTCCCTCCCGATCCTCCCAGGGCGGGCCTGCCGAGCCCTGCTTCGACGGCCCCCGTTGGGGCCCTCCGCGAGAGGGCCGATGGAGCCGACACCGGCCCCGGGCGCCCCCAGTTGCGATTGGCTGTTGCGACGACGACGGCGGCGACGACGACGACCACGACCACGATCGCCACGACCACGACCACGACCACGACCACGACCACGACCACGACAACGATCGCGACGACCACGAGACCGACGACCACGGGAACGACGACCACGACGACGACGACGACCACGAGAATGACGACGACGACGACGACGACGCGGTGGACGGCGAGGGGGGGGGGACCGGCCGAGGCCAGCCAAAAGCACCTCCAGGCCCCTCCCCCCCCCGTCCTTCCTTCACCGAGCGCGTTCTATTAATTACTCGCAAAGTGCCTACACGCAAACGTGCGAAAAACCAAGCGCCCGCCTTCGTGTAGTATATCGTAGATCCCCCGCGGTGGATCCAGCCCATTTGCGAGTGGTTTCTTTGCGAGTAGTGGAGCGCGCTCGTCTGTTCCTCTGGGCCTCCCCCGGGGAGGGGCCCGGAGGGCCGTGGCGCATCGCCGATGCATCGGCGATGCGGCGCGGTGTGGTGCCTGGTGTTCTCCACGCCAGCGTCGCCGTCATCGCCGATGCATCGCCGATGCTCACGCGATCGCAGACGTGGAGCAATGGGGGCGTGGATTAGCGACGGGTCCCGTCTCCATGGGACATCGCGGATCTCCGCCGCCGAGCGAGGCGGCACTGGCCGCATTTTGGGGAGGGCGCCTCCCCCGATCCATGGATTTGGCGACCGCGCGCCAAATCCATGAACCGCTAATCCATGTTTGCGCGCCCCCGAGATGCATCGCCGAGACAGCGCCGATGCATCTGCGATGCGGCGCGATCCTCCGACCCCATCTACTCGGACCCCATCTGGGAGGCCTCTCCTCATTGAGCACCAAAGACCCCCTAATCCTAGTGACACGATGAAGACGTGGCCTCGCTGAGGTCCCCGTCGTCGCATGAAGGATAATTAGTCGTTCCAGGCGGTTTGGCCTGATACGTCTGCAGAACAGATCCCCTATACCCATTGTTGTTGGCCCTCCTAACTTAGGACCCCTCCCAAAGGGTCAGGGGCTCCTCTTCGATGAATCATCTCCCTCCCGCACCTGTCCGAGGTGGATGCAGCTCATGGCCGCCCTGCGCGAGGTCGTGGGCGCGACGCGCCTGTGCCACGGCGCGGAGCGCTGCAGGCGGCTGCTGCAGGAGGAGCCCACGGTGAGGCCGGCCCCCGTCGGCGTCGTCGTCGTCGTCGTCGTCGTTCTCTTTCTTCTCCTCCTTTCGTTTTCGCTGTGGGCTTGAGTTCTAGGCATCGTAGATGGGGTCAGAGTAGATGAGGTCGGAGGATCGCGCCGCATCGCCGATACATCGGCGATGCCTCGGCGATGCGGCTCGATGTGGAGCCCGATTTTCTCCGCGTCGACGTCCCCGATGCACCGTCGATGCATCGGCAATGCGGCGAGATCCATCGACCCCATCTACTCCGACACCATCTAGGAGGCCTCTGTGAGCTGCCCTGGTGCACACGTGTTGAAACAAAACACGTACCGTGTTGAACACGGGTCACGCACGTGTTGGCCCACGCTTTGGCGAACGTGTCGTGCCAGACCTGCGCATCCAATGTTCGTGTTGAGCTCCGTGCCAACACGCTATGGGCTGCGTGTTGCGCATCGGGGCGGCGAAGGCGTGGGTGTTCGGCGGCCTTCGCCGCTGTTGTGGCGGCGTGGTCCAGTGAGGCTCCCGCTTTGCCAGCCAGGATTCCCAGGACCTCGTTCGTCAGAGGGGAAGCGTGGACCACCGCCACCGAGAACTCGTCGAATCAGGACCTTGGCATCGCTCGGACGTGTGCATTTTTCCTTCGGCGAGGACCGTCGAGGAGCATCCTTGATCATTTGGCGAAAAAACCACGCACGAAACCGAAAAAAACACAGGGAATGGACGTCCGAGCGACGGCGAGCAGAAGGCTCCGAAGACCCCCGGCCTTCCGAGAAGTGTTCTGAGCCTTCCCCGAAGGCACAGGCGACCTCTCAGAAGGCCGGAGGGCTTCTGAGAGGCCCTGCCGCCTTCTGAGAAGGCCTTCTCCTGTTCATTTCCCGGCCAGCAGCGGTGGCGTTCGCAACGTGGAGCTCGGCTCCTCCTCATTCCTTCTCCTTATACATAATTTTCCCCTGTCGCACCCCGAGGCCAGTCTTTTGGGCGGGCCGGGCGTTTCGCGTGACACTTCTTCACCATCTACGATGTGAAACTGAAACATTGACAACGGTTTCACAGATGGAGGGCGGGTGGTTTTCAAGATGTGGCTCTCACCTTAGCGTCGCGCGCATTCATTTAATGATATAGCCGGAGTGCAGTATCCCCAAACAGGGTTTTTAGACCAACTGCGGTTTCCAAGGTCGATTGCGTGCCCGTCCAGTGCGGGCTGGCATGGCATGTTCAAACATGCCTCCTCCTCCTCCTCCTCCTCCTCCTCGTCCACCTCCTCTTCATCCCGAAAGGCATCTCGGAGCCCAGAGTTGCGAGGATGTCTCCAGCGTAACGGGCTGAACCACCTCGCGCGCGGCATTTCGGACCCCAGAGTTGCGACGATGTCTCGGGCGAAACGTGGTGCGAGGAAGTCTCAGGCGAAACGGGCCAGACCACCTCGAGCGCGGCGTCTCAGAGCTCCGAGTTGCGGGGGCCTCCTGGTGCCTCCTGGGGCCTCCTGGGGACCTCCTGGAGCTTCCTCCTGGGCCTCCTGTGGCCTCCTGAACTCCACCTGGGGTTTCCTGAAGCGTCTTGGGGCTCCCAGGGGGGATATCTAACCTGTGGCCGCTTGGGCCCCTCAAAATGGAGGGGGGGCACAAGAGCAGGAAGAATCAACGAATCGACACCGGATGTGAATTAACTTGACACGTTCTGATAGGGGGCCTCCTGGGGCCTCCTGGGAGCCTCCTGGGCCTGTCCTGCGGACCCCTTGGGGCCTGTCCTGGGCGTCCTGCGGCCTCCTGAAGCTCTCTGGGGCCTCCCTCTCCTCCTGCCTGCTCCCTCATGCACACGATGTCTCTGGCGAAACGTGGTGCGAGGAAGTCTCAGGCGAAACGGGCCGGACCACCTCGAGCGCGGCGTCTCAGAGCTCCGAGTTGCGGGGGCCTCCTGGTGCCTCCTGGGGCCTCCTGGGGACCTCCTGGAGCTTCCTCCTGGGCCTCCTGTGGCCTCGTGAACTCCACCTGGGGTTTCCTGAAGCCTCTTGGGGCTCCCAGGTGGGATATCTAACCTGTGGCCGCTTGGGCCCCTCCAAATGGAGGGGGGGCACAAGAGCAGGAAAAATCAACGAATCGACACCGGATGTGAATTAGCTTGACACGTTCACGTTCTGATAGGCGGCCTCCTGGGGCCTCCTGGGAGCCTCCTGGGAATCTCCTGGAGAACCCTGGGGCCTGTCCTGGGCGTCCTGCGGCCTCCTGGTGCCTCCTGGGGCCTCCTGGGGACCTCCTGGAGCTTCCTCCTGGGCCTCCTGTGGCCTCCTGAACTCCACCTGAGGTTTCCTGAAGCATCTTGGGGCTCCCAGGGGGGATATCTAACCTGTGGCCGCTTGGGCCCCTCAAAATGGAGGGGGGGGCACAAGAGCAGGAAAAATCAACGAATCGACACCGGATGTGTATTAACTTAACACGTTCTGATAGAGGGCCTCCTGGGGCCTCCTGGGAGCCTCCTGGGAATCTCCTGGGGGCCCCTGGGGCCTGTCCTGGGCGTCCTGCGGCCTCCTGGACCTCTCTGGGGCCTCCTGAGGCTCGCAGGGTCCCATGGAGGATATGTAACATGTGGTCTTCTGGGCCCCCAGGCTGGACCACCTCTTGCGCAGCATCTGAGAGCTCAGAGTTGCGAGAATGTCTTGTGCGAAACAGGCCGGACCACCTTGCGCACGGCATCTCAGAGCTCAGAGTTGCAAGGATGTCTCAGGCGAGACGGGCCGGACCACCTCGCGCAGGGCATCTCAGAGCTCAGAAGTTCGAGGATGTCTCAGGCGAAACGGGCCGGACCACCTCTCGCGCGGCATCTCCGAAGTCAGAGTTTCGAGGATGTCTCAGGCGAAACGGGCCGGACCACCTCGCGCAAGGCATCGCAGAGCTCAGAGTTTCGAGGATGTCTCAGGCGAAACGGCCCGGACCACCTCTCGCACGGCACCTCGGGGCTCAGAGTTTCGAGGATGTCTCAAGCGAAACGGCCCGGACCACCTCTCGCGCGGCGTCCCGGAGCGCAACTTTTCGAGGATGTCTCAGGCGAAACGGCCAATCCCGGCCAACTCAGAAACGAGAGTTGTGAGGATGTCTCAAGCGAAACGGCCAAAACCATAAAATTTGTGTGAGGATGTCTCTGCTCCGCCTTCCCTCGGCCGGAGTTAGTTTCTATCACAACAGCACCCAGCACCCCGCTCAGCAAGCTGTTTGGGGAAAAATCGTGACGTCGGATGTCTGGGGAGGGCGGAAGGCAGTGCGCGCATGACGGATGCTGAGGCGGCAGAAACGACGACGGCGGGGACGGGGAGGCGGAGGCAGAGGCGCAGCAGCGGGAGGCGGGAGGCGGGAGGAGGGAGGAGGGAAGAGGAACCAGGCGGGAAGTGGGAAGAGGGAGGCGGGAGAAGGAATGAGAAAGGTTGTGATTGGAGCTCCTGTGCTACAAAACGTCTCAGGCAGAATGGGCCAGACCATCTCGCGCGCAACATCTTCGAGCCTCGCATTGCGAGGATGGCTCAATCGAAACGGGCCGGACCACCTCGCGAGCGACATCTTGGAGCTCAGTATTGGAAGGATGTCTCAAACGAAACGGGCCGGACAATCTTTCGCACACGTTTTGACAAGTCCACATCGCACTCGCTTCCCGTTAGGTCCTCTCCTGCAACTCCCTTCCTTCTCCCTCCTCCTCCTCCCCCTCCTCCTGCTTGCTCCCGCATGCGCATCATCCGCCTCCTCCTTCTCCCTTCCATCTCCTTCTCCTCCTCCTCCTCCTCCTCCTCCTCCTCCTCCTCGACCTCTTCTTCATCCCGAACGGCATCTCGGAGCCTAGAGTTGCGAGGATGTCTCCAGCGTAACGGGCTGGACCACCTCGCGCGCGGCATCTCGGACCCCAGAGTTGCGACGATTTCTCGGGCGAAACGTGCTGCGAGAAAGTCTCAGGCGAAACGGGCCGGACCACCTCGAGCGCGGCGTCTCAGAGCTCCGAGTTGCGGGGGCCTCCTGGTGCCTCCTGGGATCTCCTGGGGACCTCCTGGGGCTTCCTCCTGGGCCTCCTGTGGCCTCGTGAACTCCACCTGGGGCTCTCTGAAGCCTCTTGGGGCTCCCAGGGGGGATGTCTAACCTGTGGCCGTTTGGGCCTCTCCAAATGGAGGGGGGGGGCACAAGAGCAGGACAAATCAACGAATCGACACCGGATGTGAATTAACTTGACACGTTCTGATAGGCGGCCTCCTGGGGCCTCCTGGGAGCCTCCTAGGAATCTCCTGGGGACCCTGGGGCCTGTCCTGGGCGTCCTGCGGCCTCCTGGAGCTCTCTGGGGCCTCCCCCTCCTCCTGCCTGCTCCCTCATGCACATCATCCGCCTCCTCCTTCTCCCTTCCATCTCCTCCTCCTCCTCCTCCTCCTCCTCCTCCTCCTCCACCTCCTCTTCATCCCGAACGGCATCTCGGAGCCTAGAGTTGCGAGGATGTCTCCAGCGTAACGGGCTGGACCACCTCGCGCGCGGCATCTCGGACCCCAGAGTTGCGACGATGTCTCGGGCGAAACGTGCTGCGAGAAAGTCTCAGGCGAAACGGGCCGGACCACCTCGAGCGCGGCGTCTCAGAGCTCCGAGTTGCGGGGGCCTCCTGGGGCCTCCTGGGGCCTCCTGGGTGACCTCCTGGGGCTTCCTCCTGGGCCTCCTGTGGCCTCCTGGACCCCACCTGGGGCTTCCTGAAGCCTCTTGGGGCTCCCAGGGGGGATATCTAACCTGTGGCCGTTTGGGCCTCTCCAAATGGAGGGGGGGGGCACAAGAGCAGGAAAAATCAACGAATCGACACCGGATGTGTATTAACTTGACACGTTCTGATAGGCGGCCTCCTGGGGCCTCCTGGGAGCCTCCTGGGAATCTCCTGGAGACCCCTGGGGCCTGTCCTGGGCGTCCTGCGGCCTCCTGGGGCCTCCTGGGGCCTCCTGGGGACCTCCTGGAGCTTCCTCCTGGGCCTCCTGTGGCCTCCTGAACTCCACCTGAGG